GGACTGGCCGGTGAACATGCCTTCCGGCGCCACCATCAGCTCCTTCACGCGGCGGTACTTGTAGGGGTGGCGGAACTCCACGCGGGCGAGCGGCGCCCCACGGCCAGCCTCGTGCTCGATCGTCTTGACGACGCCGCGCATGAAGCCGTGGCGCTCAGCGTAGTCGAGAATGCGCAGCTTCGCGGGGCCGAGGCGCTTGTGGCCGTGCAGCTGGTAGATGGACCCGTTGCCCTTACGGCATGTCAGCACAGTCTTTCCCATCTTGTATGGTTGGCGACTTTCTTGAGAGGTGTGCCTCTGTTGTCTGTTCTTTCGTGTGTCCCTGCAGCCGCGGCGGCAAGAATAGTAATGATGGCAATGCGAGGAAGGAGAGAGGGGGAGGGAGAGAGAGAGAGAGAGAAAGCGAAATAGAAATAGCAATAGCGAAAAGACCAAGACGCAACAGCAGCAGTGCAAAGAGAAACCCGAAAGAGCCATTTCACGTGCATTCATTCACCACGACGAGAGCCTGAAGCAACGATGTCGCTCGCAGAAAAAAAAAGGGGGCCGTCGGAGGGAGAGAGAGAGAGATATGAAGCGCGTGTGTATCTTTTTTGTTTTTGTTTGGTTGTTGACTGTGTGAGTGTGAGCGCGCGAGTGTATGTATGTATGTGTGTGTGTGTGTGTGTGTGTGTGGACGCACGCGTGGAGGCTTATACAGATAGGTTATTAGCAAACACGCAGGTCCATGGCCGGCACACATACACACACACACAGACGCAAACGCACACTCAGGCCCATTTAAAAACAGACAGCTGTTATGCACCACATGGACACATTTGTGTGTCCTGTTTACGTCGGTGCGCACGTATGTGTATGCTGCGGTGGGTGGTGTGTTGTGTCCCTCACTCCCGCCCGTGCTGGCGGCGTGTTTAGACAATCATGTCCTCCATCCCGAACTCCTTGAGGAACGGCGCCACGTCCTGCTGCCACGATGCCTCAACGAGGTCGGGGCGTTCCATGAGGTTCAGCGACATGCGCAGGAGGTCCCACAACCCGCGCGTCGCCTGCCGCGAGCTGTCGCCCTGCGGGTTCGTGCCGCCCGCCTGCACTGCGATCGCCCGCGTGATTTGCTTCGCCGCGGCCGCGTACTGCTGCATGTTCGAGTACGACACCGCCATGTTGTACATCGCGCGCACGTAGCCCGGGTTGATGTCGAGGGCGCGGTTGTACGCGACAAGGGCCTCCTCGGGCTTGTTGCCGTTGGCGAGTGTGGCGCCGAGTTTGTTCCACAGCTCCGCCCCGTCGGGGCGAAGCTCGACGGCGCGGCGGAAGTTCGCGGCGGCCATTTCGTAGCGGTGCGAGAGATTGTGCAGCACGCCGAGGCTGGCGTGCAGCTGCGCGTCGCCGGGGTTCATCTCCACTGCGGCGTTGAGGAGCGTGCGGCAGTCGCGGTACTCACTCGGCGCGGCGAAGAAGAACTCTTCGTCGGCCACGTCCATGTCGTCGCTAATTGCTTCGGTGGGTGCCGCGCCGTCCTGCAGGTTCACGGAGCCGAGCTGCTCGTACTGCGGGTGGGACAGCAGCCATGCCCGCAGCGACTGCAGCGCCGCCTGCACATTGTGCTCGTTGGTGTGCGACACCGCCAGTGCGGCGTGTACGGCGGTGTCCTTCGGGTCCACTCTGCGCGCGTTGTTGAGTGCAATGATGGCGAGACCGTCCTTCTCGTTCTCCGCCTGCGTGGTGCCAAGGAGGCGCCAGCCCTCAAGCGAGTTCGGCTCCTTTTGGCAGACCGCCTCGAAGGCGAGGGCGGCCTCCGCGAGGTTCGCGAGCTGCAGCATCTCCCGCCCCTCCTCCATCGGGTTGTCGTGGTACAAGTACGGGTTGTTTGGCTCAAACGGGTAGTCGGTATTGTTCTGCGCCTGCTGCAGCCGATCCTGCATCTCGGCATACTCCCTCGCCCACTCCTCCACTTCGGCGGCGGGGTCTTGCGTGGCGTCGCCCATCATGGCGTCTTCGCTGCCGCCGGGCATAATGCCGCCGTGCAGGGGCTGCTGCTGCTGGTGTGGCAACATATTTTCAAAGACGCCTGGCGGCATCTCGAGGCCCTCAGCAGCGGCCCACTCCTTTAGGTACTCTGTGTCCTCCGCCACGTCAGGGTCGGGGCCCGGTCCCTGCACAACCTGCCCGGTCTCCTCGTCAATCAGCAGCTCCTTGTTGCGAATCTTGTCCATGAACTGATAGAACTTGGAGTTCTGAGCGTGCTCCTCCGTTGTCTGTTCCGGCTTCCCATCCGCAGTAAAGACCTGCGCGTCGTTGTAGTCCTGGGCCCACTCTGCGTTGCGCAGCTTCTCCGTCCACGCACCGTCATCCTGCTGCTGCTGCTGCGCCGATGTCGTGGTAGCCTCCTGTGCCACGGCCCTGTTGCCCGCTGTTGCCATTGCCGGGCGTGCCATCATCATAGGGGCGTACGGCATCATTGGCGGCGCGCCCATCACGAAGCCGCCGAAGCCCGGGCCGCCCATCATTGGCGGCACCATCATGTGCGGCTGCATCATGGCCGGCCCGGCCACGCCCTGCTGCGGCCCAGCGGAGGACGCGCGGAACGCCTCCTCCATATCACGCTGCTGGTGGTGAAGCATCATGGCATCATTCTGGTGCCTCTGCATCGTCATTTGCTGATGCTGCTGCTGCTGCTGAAGGGCGGCGAAGTGCTGCGCCCACTCTGCAGGGGCCCCCGGGTTCTGCTGCTGCTGCTGCATCATCATCTCATTCATGAGGGCATCCTGCTCGGGGTTGCCGCTGGTGCCGAGGCCGACGCCGCCATGCATGTGGAGGGCATTCTTCGCAAACTGCTGCCCCAGAGCCGCTCCTGCGCCGCAGTCCATATCTCCTCTTCTTTTGACTCTTGTTTGTGTAAATTTGCTTTTTTTTTCTCTTTCTCCTTCTTTTGATTTGTTTTTAGCCGATGGATACTTTGTTGTATTACCTGTGCTCCTCTCTTCGTGCTTGGGCTGGGTGCTGGGGCTCCTGATAGTGGTTGCTTTCCTTTACTTTTCACTGTGTGTGTGTGTGTGTGTGTGGTTCCCCCTTGATGAGTATCGCCTCTTCCCTTTTACCGCTGCTGTTGCTGCGGGGGGAGGGGAGGAGGAGGCGGAGAGGCAAGGGAAGAAGCAGGCAGGCCCATTGCGGTGCATGGAGAGCCGGGACGAGAGCAACAGCAACAGCAGCAGCAGCGAGAACAGAGGCAGGCAGCGAGGGGAGAGCGGTCCTCGACGACGCACATACTCAGACAAACGCAGACAAATTCAACAACAGAAAGACACGCGCACAGAAACACCGGAAATTGTTAAATTATGTTGGTTTGTCCCCTTCGTCTCCTTCGTCGCATACGACTCCAAAAGACACACCTGCCCGCCTCCCTCGAAAGAGACAAGGGGCAGAGAAGCGAAATAAAAGAGAAGAAGAAGAAGAAGAAAAAAAAAAAAGACGGCAAGGCCAAAGCAAGGATGCACAACAAAAAAGGGACCGTAAGTGCCCTGTGATCGATACAAGAAAAACAGATCCTATAGATAAACGCACACAGAGAGATAGAGATAGAGAGACACCTCTATAACATTAGAGAGAAAACAAAAAAAAAAAACATGTAAGATTTCTTTTCCTTGGAGGGGGGTTTCGTTGCATGTCGGCTCGCTCGTTTCTTACCTCTTCGTCTCACGTGGATGTGGAGGGGTGGGAGGGGAGAACTGGAGGGTCGTGGTGATGGTGGGGGTAGCGGGCGTGCCTGACTCCATCCCACTCTCCCACACACGCTCGGCACAGCCCTGGCCCAACACCAGCAGCCCCCGCCCCCCTCCTGCCGCCGCGCCGCCTCCATTCCGCAGCACAGACCACATTCGTTGGTGTGGTCAATATGTTACTGGTGTTTCTTCTGCCTTTTTTTTTTTGCCGTGGTGCCCGTGTCGCTGTGACGCGCCTCCACACGATGTCGTGGCGTGTTGTCCTGTGTCTCGTTTTCTCCTTATTCCTTTCGTTTTCATTTCCCCCCTCTCTTCTTTATGCAGTGCTGCTGGAGCTGTTTGCTAAAACTATTTCCCCCCCCCCCNCCCCCCCCCCCCTCATCCTCTTTCCCCTTTGATTTGATTTGTATTTCGTTTTCTCGCTACCTTCGCGCTTGCTGTCGCTCATCGGCTCTGTTACACGTGTACTTGCCGGCGCGGCGGCACATCTGCGGGTCGCCCCTCCCGCCCACTGCGCCCTCACTTCTGCCGCCGCTGCCCGCTGGTGCCTCAAAAGGTCGCGTCGTACTTGTCGACGAGCTCGCGCAGCCACCGCAGCGCCTCATCCTGCGTCTTGGTGCCGTGGCGGTGGTTGTCGCGGGTGCGGATGTTCACTGTCTGCGCGTCCTCCTCCGCCTGGCCAACGACGAAGATGAAGTTGTACCGCGCCAGCTCGGCGTTGCGGATCTTCTTGTCGAGTGTGGCGGTGCCGTTGTCGACGTCCGCGTAGAAGCCCTCGCCCTGGAAGAGGTCACGCACCCGCGTGGCGTAGGCGGCGTTCTCCAGCGACACCGGCACGATGATCACCTGCCGCGGGCTGAGCCACAGCGGCCACTCACCGCCGTAGTGCTCGCACAGAATCGCGATGCAGCGCTCGAGTGAGCCGAAGATGGCGCGATGGATCATGACGGGGCGCGCCTGGTTGGCGTCGAGGCGGTGGTCAATGCCGAGATCACGCACCGCCTTGTCGTACGACGAGAGTGCCTCATCGGCAGTCCCCGCCGCCGCTGCTGCTGGCTTTGCCTCTTCGGCCTTGGCGTCGGCGTCGTTCGGGTCGGCATGGCGCTCCTTCGGCTTTTCGCCTGATGGCGCTTCCGCCGCCGCCCCTTCCGCCGCGGCGGTGGGGAGTGTGTACTTGAGGCCGAAGCGCTGCGGCAGATTGAAGTCGAGCTGCACTGTGGCGCACTGGTGACGGCGCCGCAGCGCGTCCTCCACGACGATGTCTATCTTGGGCCCGTAGAAGGCGCCATCACCGGTGTTCTCCTCCCATGCGTCGGCGTGCGTCGGCCCGGCCCACGTGCTGTCGTCGCCCTCCACTGCAGCGCCCTCGCTCTTAGCCGCACGCTTCTTCATGAGGGCGCGGAACTTCTTCATACTCTCCTTGCGCCCATCGAATGTGAATGTGGCACCGTCGTTGAAGGGGTCTGGCAGCTTCTCGGGGATGCCGCAGAAGTGATTGAGGGCGGCGCGCAGGTACGCCTCCGCCTGGTCCCACATCTCCTCCGTGCCGAGCTTGTTATCCGGCCGTGTGGCGTGCTTGAGGAAGAACTTGAAGCCGAGCACGCGGTACACGTCGTTGAGGAACGTGAGGGCGCCCTGTATCTCCTCCTGCACCTGGTCCATGCGGCAGAAGATGTGCGCGTCGTCCTGCTGGAAGCGACGCACGCGCGTGAGGCCGGTAAGGGCGCCGCTCAGCTCGTTTCGGTGCAGCACGCCGAAGTCGGCGTAGCGGATAGGAAGCTCCTTGTATGAGTGCGGCTGCATCGCGAACATGATGCAATGCCCGGGGCAGTTCATCGGTTTCATGCCGTGATCCTCCTTCTCCACGACGGTGCGGAACATGTTCTCCGCGTACTTGTCCCAGTGNCCGGAGACCATCCAGAGGCGAGAGGAGAACATGTTGGGCGACACCACCTCCTCGAAGCCGCGGCGGCGGTACTGTTTGCGCTGGAACTCCACCAGTGCGTTGTAGATGCGGGCGCCGTGCGGCAGCCAAAACGCGCTGCCCGGTGATACCTCATGGAAGCCGAAGAGTTGCTGCTGTTTCCCAACCGTGCGGTGGTCACGGCGGGCCGCCTCCTCCTGCAGCGTCTTCCACTCCGAGAGCATCGCCTGCTTCGGGAAGGAGATGCCGTACACGCGCTGCAGCACCGCGTTCTCAGCCTTGCCCTCAAAGTAGGACGAGGAGTTCTTCGTCACGGCGTACGCCTTGACGCGGCTGGTGTCGGGGAGGTGCGGGCCACGGCACGGGTCGATGAGGTTGCCGCAGCGGTACACCGTGCAGGTGCCGTTCTCTGGCACCTTGCTCGCGAGGATCTTGCTCTTGAACTCTGTGTAGTTGAAGAGCCGCAGCGCGTCCGCCTTGCTGACGGTGAGGCGTTGGTACGGCACCTTCTGCTTGACGAGCTCCTGCATCGCCGCCTCGATGGCGGTGTAGTCAGTCTCAGAAAGCGGCCGGCTCGTCTCGCCCTCGTAGAAGTAGCCGCCATCCTCGAGCGCGGGCCCAACAGAGAGGCGCGTGTGGAAGACGCGCTCGAGGGCGTAGCCGAGTACGTGCGAGGAGCTGTGCCAGAACACGTTGCGGGCGTCCTCATCGTCCCAGTCGAGCAACTCGAGCGTCGCGTCGCACTCGAAGGGGCGGGTGAGGTCCCACAGTTCGCCGTTTACGCGCGCGACGAAGACCTTGTCAGGGAGGGAGTTCGACAGCCGCTTCGCTATTTCAATGGGAGTCGTCTGCCAGCTCGTTCCGTCCATGCGCTTGCCGTCGGGCAGCGTGACGGTGATGGGCGCCTGCTCCGTCGCGTACTTGGCCTGCTGGGCGGCGTACAGCTCGTCGAAGAGGGCGTAGCGGTCCTTCCAGAAGGGCGGATCTTGCAGCGTCTTGAGATCGACCGCGGTGGCAGCGGCGGCACCACCCTTTTTCTTACCCCCGGCCGCAGCAGTGGATGTTGTCGTCATTGTTGTGGCTGCTCGCGTGGCAAGTGTCGTGAGACAGGCTCGAGGGAGCAGTCGAAATCGCAGCAATGTTGTAGTTGGGTGGAATAACAGCAGCGTGGCTGGTCGTGCTGTGTTATCGAGGAGGACAGAAATAATAAAAAGACCTCTTTTGTCTTCCTTTTTGCTTGGTGTAATTGGTTAGGTATGCGTGTGTAAGTGTAAGTGGGGCAGTGGGTGATGGCGGATGCGTAATTCCCCTGTGCCTAGGCGTTAACTTCTTCGGCTGATGGCGACGGTGTTCTCGTTGTTGTTGTTGTTGATGGCGGTGGGGTGGGGGCAATAGGCAGAGGAGGCGGGGGAGGAAGTTGCAGCAAGGGCGGTGATACACAGAGCAGCACAGCAGGCCATGATGTATAGGCCCACACACACACACACACAGAGAGAGACATACACGCGTCCACATTCGCTCTTTCACAGACTCACTCTTCACGCAGAGCGGCACACACGCACACACACAGACGCGGGCACACATGTGCCTCACGCATGCGTCGCATTAAACGAACTCTCTTCACCGCATCCATCCATCACTTCTTCCTCTTCACCGCCGGCTGATCCACAGCGGTAGCAGTAGCCACCTCGCCACGCATGCGCTTTGTCCCAGACGCCTTCTGCGGTTCTTCCGGCTCACGTTTTTGCTTCCGCGGCTTCTGCTCCTCCTGCTGCTGCCCGCTCTCAGCGCGCGGCTTGCTGCGCCGCGCCTTGCCAAGCACGGCTGCGCGGTACGCCTCGTTCATAGCGCGCTCCGAGCTGCGTGCGTCC